GGGTCACCGTGAGCTGTACTGGGTCACCATGGGCTGTACGGGGTCACTGTGGACTATACGGGGTCACCGTGGACTGTACGTGGACTGTACAGGGTCACCGTGAGCTGTACGGGGTCACCGTGGACTGTACGGGGTCACCGTGAGCTGTACGGGGTCACCGTGGGCTGTACGGGGTCACCGTGAGCTGTACGGGGTCACCGTGGGCTGTACGGGGTCACCGTGAGCTGTACGGGGTCACCGTGGACTGTACGTGGACTGTACAGGGTCACCGTGAGCTGTACGGGGTCAGTCCAACAGCAGCTAACAACAAAGCATGACCCTGACCATTAAAGGTGGTTTTGAAGAAGGGGGAGGGGAAGGGTGGAGGATGATGGGTTTGGGACTCCTGGGAGTCAGTGGGCTCCGCATTGAATGGAACTGCAGCCATGTTGCTGTTAGTTACTGGAGGTAAATTTCTTAATGGAACTTAGAAATGATGGTTCCAACTCCTGGGGGTTGACCTAAGGGGTGGCTGTGGGAACGTAAACTACAAGAAACTTGGTCTAGCACAGTCTCTCGGTGACTCTTGTCTGGAATAGCCAAGATGAATGCCCAGGAGAATGTGGGGATGGAGCCTGCTGGTGCGGGGCCAGGCTTGGGGTTTGGACTAGCTGAGCTAGTTGTAAACCTCAACTGATCAAATGAAAAGAATAGTAGAAGAAAGTGTTCAGGTATCAGGACTCCGATACTATGCCAAACTTGGGTTCTGGGCAGCCCGCATTACAGTCACTTGCCTGAGGGCCACAATCAAAGGGAAAAGTTATACTGAAATCATCGATATCCAAGAAGATTAGAGTGACTCCTGAGAGAATGAGGAAAGAGAAGGGAACTTGACCCAGCAGGGTGGGAAGTCTTTCAATTGTTATTAAGAATGAGATGAATCAAGGGGCTATTGATGGGGACACAACCAAAGTCTTAATGCAGTGACCCCTGAGACTCTGGTCCCTAGCCATCCCTCAGGTTTAGGGTTAAACCCTCCCCTGTGACTCAATTGTCAGCCAAACAACAGACAGGTCTATAAAAGGAACAGTTACTTCAGGGAGGCACACAAACTTTAGAAGACTCAACCATTTGAGATCAAAAGGGCAGCGTTGGCCCAAGGACAAAGTTCAGAAAGGGTGAAAAAGAATAAGGAATGAACACGGGAAACAGGAAGGAAGGCTCTGAGAAACGGTGCTGGCCAAACTGGAGAGCCAGTTACAGAAGAATGAAGCAAATCTCATACCATCTACAAAAAGGAACTCGACATGGATCAAAGCTCAAAATCTCTAGACTTTGGAGGCCTGGGATGGCTCTGTGGGTTAATGCGCTGGACTGCAAAGTTGGTTTGAACTGCAAGGTCGGCAGTTCAAGCTCACCAGCTGCTCCTCGGAAACCCTACACAGGGTCACTATGGGTCGGAACTGACTTAAGAGCACACAACATGAAGATCATCAATTAAAAACAATAAGGACAAACTTAGGGGCTCTGGCACATGGCATAAATGTCACTGTAGTTGTTAGGTGCTGTTGAGTCAGAACCAACTCATATCAACTTTACACACAACAGAACAAGACACTGCCCAGGGGCGCGCCCTCCTCACAAACTCTACGCTTGAGCCCACTGCTGCAGCTGCCACTGTGCCAATCCATCTTGTTGGGGGTCTTCCTCCTTTTCTCTGACCCTCCACTTTACCTGATAACAGGTCCTAGTGAAGTCAGAAGAGGCCAGATGCTGCCCCCGCTGACATTTTACAAGTTGACAAAATGTAGCAAGGTGGGTGGCTTTAAGGAACACATTGGTTTCCGCAGAGTTCTGGAAACCAGAAGTCTGGATTCAGGACATCAGCAAGGACATACTCTGTCCACTCTAAGGGAAGGACTCCTTCTTACGGTCCAGCTCTGTAGCCCTGGGCGTTTCTTGGTGTTCCCGGTCTTGTGACTAGATGCTGACATACATACTGTGAATGTTTCCCTGGTTCTCTGGATGAAGGGATTAGGATTAGGAACTCCCCCCTTCTGCTGTAACTCCCTGACTCCATTGTTTACACCTTCAAAGGAAAACCCTAGTTCTCCAAACAAGGTCACATTCACAGGGGCAAACATTAGGACATCAATAGATCTTTTGGGGAGACAGAATCTACTGATGGAAAGACCACCCAGGTGACCCAGGGTGGGTGCTGTGTGTAACGCCAGAGGGGCTTGAGACGAAGCTCAGTCATGTGGACAGTGAGGAGGGCGTGGGACCCCCAGCAATGTCCCAGGTTATAGAAGCTGGAAGACACATGGGGGAGCACTGGGAAAGACAGCCCTGGGCTTGGGGAGCCTCCCTGCTGGCAGTAACTCTCACTGGCTACTCCTCCACACCACTTCCTGGCTCCATGGTGGGGGGGGGGGGGGACAACAGGAGCCTGAGCTCCCACCCCCTCCTAGCCCCTGCCTATGTGCTCCTGGGTAATTGTAATCTGTGTCCTGCCTTGTAAGCAGCTGTATCCATAAAAATAACAGCTGCTGGTACATTCCGCGAGTCCTGCCCGTGAGCTTGTGGACAAGGGTGCGTGGGCCTGTGAACCCACAATCCTGTCAAAGGGGAGAAGCCAGCTCCCTCCTCCATCTGTTTCGGAATGAACCCTGGCTCTCAGCAGGACTCACGTGAAGCCTGACATCAGCTTTCCTTCCCATCTCTACCCTCAGGTATCACAATAACCTGTAATAGTCAAATATCTAGGTAGAGCAAATCTATTTTTATCCCAACCTGAAAAGCCCCACTCCACCGGGCAACTGAGGGTAGATGGACAAGCCATCGCACTCTCCAAGTCTCTGCAGAGTGGTTGGAATCCTCAAGGCGCACGTGGACACACCAGCTGGCCCTGAGCCGATGACCCTGGGCCTAGCATTCCTCTCTGAACAGGACTCAGGTAGCCCAGACCCAGCGCAGGTGGACATCACGTCATGGTTAGACTGGTCTTGAGGAAGGAAGGAAGTTCTGGTGGGCTGGGCCAGCTGGACCCCACAGCGTGACTTACACTTCCATGTTCCTGATGGCTCCTGCCTGAGGAGGCCCAGGTGGGAAGCAGCTCAGAGCTGGGCCCCAAGGCTGGTCCTGGGCCCCGAGGGCATCGGCTGACTGTCCACTGGACCGTGTCCTGTCTGACCTGGAGTCCAATGGCTGAGGTCAAGGATGTTCCTCTAGATGTCCCATTGCTCCCGGCAGGGTCCCTAAGCCTTAGGTGGACGTCCAGATGGGCAGGGGGTGGGCTTCAGTGTTGAACACATAGGTGTCCAGACTGAGCAGGTTGGTGTCGTCAGAGAAGAGCAGGTACAGATACTTCAGTGTCTCCCCCAGAAAGAAACTCTCCATTTTGTCCCCGGGCTCTGGCCTCTTGGGGTCCTGGACATTGTTGATGGATGAGTAACCACCCGTGGGGACCTGTACAGCACCGAGTTCATGGACTCACCACTGTGTGGACACACCCGGCCCTCTCCACCCCCGGCTGAGCCCTTTAACACCCTCCCCTAAGAGTTCACCATCATGTAAGGAGCCCCCACCCCGTGAGAGAAGGTGCCCTTGAGTCTCGGCTGCCCCCTCCACAGGTGAGCAGGGGCGGGCCGAGCTCAGACAGCACGTGGCCTCACCCGCGTGTAGGTGTTGAAGCTCTGCAGGATCTCCCAGCCCCAGTCCTGGTACTTGCTGTCCCCTGTGCAGCGGTGCAGGTAGAACAGACTCTCCACCGTCTCTGGCCGCAGCAGGTTGTGTCTGTCCGCCGGCTGTAGGGAAGTGCAGGGTTAGCCAGGCGCTCGCCTGCAGGCCAGTCCTGTCCGGGGCCCTGCCAGCACTCACCTTGACCTCCACGTCCTGGTGACCGTCCTGGGCGACCACATTGAAGTGAGCGATCTCCGGACTCAGCCCTGTCTGCATCTGGCGGTTCATCTGGTAGCAGGTCTCCATCAGCGTCTTGGCCAGGTCCATGTGCTCGGCCGGCAGCCCGTGGTGGGCACCCAGAGCTAGCGTCCCAGGCAGGAAGCACACCAGGTGGTCCTGGAAAGAGAGGGGAGGGGGCCTTCAGCACTGCCAGCCGAGAGGACGAGGGTCCACACACGCAGAGCTGCCAGCATTAGGAGGGACAGACATGGGGAGACCATGCAGTTCTCAGCTGCCCACTGGGTGCTCATGGAGGGAGGGGCGAGGAGCAGCAGGAGGGACAAGGGCCGGCTCCCACTTACGACACAGTTCTGACAACAAGGACCTCTGGCCTCTGACCTCCACCCACAGCAGATCTGTGCTTCCAACACCTGAATGGGGAGCCAGGCACACAAACAGAAGGTGGCAGAGCCTGCAAGCCCAGCCCTGGGTCAGCACGCACCATCTTGGCGCTGAAGCGGCCGTGGGCAAGCTCCCCGATGAAGGTGAGCTTGCTGGGCTCCGAATGCCGCAGCAGGTGCCTCTTGACGCCCTCGATGGCCTCCACGTAGTCCTCCAGGAGCCTGTGGGAGAGCGTCGGGCCAGGTCCCCCTCAGACACTCTGAGGCCCAGTACCCCCCACCCTGAGGTCCTGGGAAACGGGCCTGGAAGGAAGGGGCCCCAACAGTCGTCTTGGCCCACAGCCCTACCTGCCCCCTCCCCCAGGTCCCTGGACACCTCCATTCTGGGCAGTCAGGCTACCAATGCAAACTGTCCTGGGGCCTCAACTGGGTCAGCGGTGGCCGTCCGCATCTAATATCTGCTCTGCAGGCAGAATTCTGAGTGATTCCACTGTCCTGTCCACGTCAGGAAACAGGGCGAAGATGCCACATGTCCAGCGCAGGAACCTCACAGCAAGGACACAGTCCAGGGGCCCCTGGGACCCCAGCTCCGTCCCCCCTTGTGGGAAGTCTGGGGTAAATGGGAAGCCTTTGTTCAGAGGCTGAGCCCGGGTCCCCTGAGCTCTGGGGGCCCCGCGTGCACTGGGCAGGGGAGACCCTCACTGCGGCTCCTTCTTCCCGCCCTGGATCCATTGTTTCAACAGGTACTCGTAATAGCTGTCGGCCCTGGCGCCCAGCGTGTACACTCCCAGGTGTGTGAAGTGACCGCTGTGGGTGTTGATGAACATGGGCACCAGCCCGTCCATCTTCCCGAACAACCAGTGGACGCGCCGCGTCACCTCCTGCACAACATCCTGAAGCAGGTGACAGGGAAAAGGACACCATAGGGAAGGAGGTGTGGGAGCCCTGGGTGACTGCCTCCTCTCAAGACTGATTTATTCCCAAAAGAGAATAGAGGAATCATGTTCCCCGGCCGGCCTCCAGCACCCCACATAACCAGTGTGCCTGGCAGGGGGTTCCAAAGGCCATGCATTCAAGGGTGCTTCAAAATGTCCTAAATTCACCGATTTACACTCCTGCCCCACCCCACTGAAACAATGGAAAATATGCAGAAACTTTCAGAATCAACTTTGCCAGAACTCTGGAAAATAGACTACGGTTTACAGTAACCAAGTGTATACTGAGTCCAGAAAAAGTCAATTTCAAACTTGAACTCCTTTTACTTGGAAAAGCCAGGTACCACACAGAATATGACAGCTGTCAATAATAAGGTTTTCCAGAGTTAACACATTATAACAGACAAACAGCCAGAGCGCCCCCTGGAGGCCAGGATGGCCAGACTTCATCTCTCATACTTCAGACATACTATCAGGAGGGACCAGTCCCCGGAGAAGGCTATCATGTTTGGTAAGGTGGAGCGTCAGAGAAACAGAGGAAGACCTCCAACACAGTGGGATTGGCACGGTGGCAGCAGCAATGGGCTTGTGAGGTTGGCCCAGGACCGAGAACAGGATCGCTATGAGTCGGTGTTGGCTCAATGGCACCTAAGAACAAGTAACAATATCCAAATATCCAGTTTTTAACAAAAAGTAGCAAGGCATACAAAGAATGAAGGAATGATAGCCTGTTCAAAAGAACAAAGTAAGGCAATAAAATCTGTCCCTTGAGGAAGCCCAGATATTGGGCATACTACACAAAATCTTTAAAATAACTTTAGTGGTTATGAATCGGGCTGTTAATCTCATGGTCAGCAGTTTGAAACTACCAGCTGTTCCACAGGAGAAAGATGAGACTTTCTTCTTCTGCCAAGATTTACAGCCTCAGAAACCCTGTACAGGGTCACTATGGGTCAGAACCAACTCCACGGCACATCACCACAACAATATGCACAAGAATTAAAAGAAATTAGGCAAACCACATCAGAACAAAATGAGAACATCAATAAAAAGATGAAAAAGTATAAAAACAAAGCAAAGGAGGAATTCTGAAGTTGAAAAGCTCATCACTGAGATGAAAAGTTGCTAGAGGGTTCTGCAGCATATTGGAGCTGATAAAAAGAAAACACCTATACAGTTAGACCGACTGAAATAACCAAGTATGAGCGGCAGTAAAAAGAGCAGATCTGGGCAGAGCCTAGGAGCCCTGAGAGATGGTGTCCACCAGGCACCATCCAGAGGACCAACATATGTATTATGGGGATCCTCCAAGCGGAAGGAGAAAGGGGCAAAAGAATAGTTGAAGACATAATGGCCGGAAACTCCCCAAATTTGATTAAAGAAATAAATGGATCTGCACGTACACGAAGTTCAATGAACTCCCAAGAGATAAGCTTAAAGAGAGCCACACCAAGACCAATTCAAATCCAACTGTCAAAAGGCAGAAACAGACGGGGAATCTTGAAGGCAGCCAGAGAGCAGCCCCTCCGCACACAGAAGGAGTCCTCGGTAAGATTCACTGTGGATTTCTCCCCAGAAAGCCTGGAGGCCCAAAGGCCTATTGAAAACAAATCCGTCAGTCAAAAATTCTGTCTTGCAAAATTAGCCTTCAGAATGAAGGAAAATTTAAGACATTTCCACATAAATCAACAGCTGAGGGATTAACAGCAGCCCTGCCTTACAAGAACTGCTGAATGAGTGTTTCAGGGAGACTCCATAGTAATTTGAACACATATGAAGACAGACAGATTGCCAGTACAGGCAATTTCATAGACACATGCAATGGATTGGATTGACGGCCTGAGAGTAGGGGGCCACACCCGGCCTGAGCTGATGAAGGGGGAGTTTCCCTGGGGTGCGTTGTTGTTTCTAAGTGCCATGGAGTTGGTTCTGGTTCATAGGGACCCTGTATAGGGCTTTAGAGGAGTGGTTGGTGGGTTTGAATCACCGACTTTGCGGTCTGGTGCCTATCCTACAGAGCTACATCAGGACTCTGTATGCATCGTCCTTTATCTTACAGGGAAGAATGAAGGGGGCAGAGAACGACCTCTCACCACCACAGAGAGCCAAGTGGACCTGGGCTCCCTGTGCTGAGACACCCAGCGGGACGCTAACGACAAGGACCGTTCCTGAGAAAACTCCCGTTGGAGCTGCTGCCCTGAGCTTGGATTTCAGTTCCTGCGAGGGGAGCAATCACGGCTGCGTGTTAGCGCATCCACTTGAGGGCCGCTTTAAAGAGCTGCCAAGACAGCAAACATAAAGGAGGCCTGTTTTATTGTGTTTCTGACATGTAACTCTACTTGGGAGTCTGATAAGACATAAAAGACACATGTAAAAATATCAGTGAAAATTATTGCAAATACCTGGAAGTGCATTTCTCCTGTGAGACGAGAGAGCTCCCGGAACTCTAACTGAATGCTGGTCACCTCGGCCACCGTGCTGTCTGAGGTCCACCGTGGAGGGTGGGCACTGCCAGTGCCGATGTTCACATCTGAGAATGGAATCTTAGAGGGAGTCCTGAATGCAGGCAAGAGCCGATTTCCAAAATCTTTCTGAGGAAGAAGAGCAGAGAACAAGGCCTTGGCCACACTTCACAGAACCAACGGGTCACCTGCTCCGTCCACTCAGGAGAGGAGAAGGGGCAGGGGGCTCCCACACCGCCCCAAACTCAGCTGCAGCAAAAATCAGCTAGAGCGCATGCGGCCGAGTGCCTGGTGTCTGTGGGCCTCAAGATACACACTCAGGTTATCCGAATGTGAACAACCGTCTCAGGGTCCCAGTTTAAGAGGCAGCCCGGGCCTCAGGCACTCACGGCTTTCTCCAGGAAGAGGCTGTCCCCAGTCAGGTGGTATGTGCTCAGCAGCCCCCCCAGGATCCGGATCGTGCTCTCAAACAGGTTGACATCCACGTCTTTCTGGAACTGCAACTTCTGGGACACCCACTTCCTGGCTTCTTCAAACTCTAGGACACAAACAACATAGGTTCCAGGAGGCAAGAAGCGGCCCTGCCCTTCCCTGCACTCTGGGGTCTACGTGGGGGCGTGGGCTTAGCTCCTGTACGGGCCTCCCTGTGTTCTGGGGGCTCCACAGCCAGCCCCGCATCCGCCAGGTCTAGGTGCTGACTGGACCCCTGCTGTGGTGCTGGGGGTTAATGCACTGGACTGTAAAGTCGGTTTGACCCGTAAGGTCGGTGGTTCAAGCTCACCAGACGCTCCTTGGAAACACTCTAAGTGGTCGCTATGGGTCGGAACCGACTCGACAGCACTAAACAGCAGATGCCGACTGGGGCTCCTGCAGGGACCTCCTCAGGTTCTCTGGGCCCATGTGCTGACTGGGGGTGTTTGCTCCTGACTCCCAGGGGGTCCCCACGTGTACAGATGAGAGGAGGCCAGCAGTGCAGGTGGGGACGTCCCTACACAAGAACACTACACATGGTCACCAAAGACCATCACACTAAGGACCATGAAAGTGGTTTCACTGGGGCGTTCAAGTGTTCAGAAACGTTGGGGAAGCTGAAAACATCGATTCACAACTAACTGTAGATGCTGCTTAGAGAGTCCTGGTGCTGCAGTGGTGAGGTGCGCAGCTACGAACCAAATGTCGGTGGTTCAAACCCACCCGCCGTCTGTGTCCATGGAGACCCTCTGGGGCAGTTCTACTCTGTCCTACAGTTGTCGCTGCGAGTCAGAATCGACTCGATGACCACGGGTCTCTGAGAGCCAGACCCCCACACAAGCTGCAGCTAAGGTGGACACAACACAGACCCCACTCCCTCTCCTCCTCGGCCACCCGGGAGCGGCAAGTACCTTTGGTCAGGCCCAGAATCCACATGGTGTCCAGGGCATCGACCAGGGTGAGGCCAAGGCCGAACCACTCGACAAAGGACCTGGACACGGGCCTTAGCTCATCGTGGCCCCACGCGTACTTGCGGTAGCCCTTCCATGCGTGCAGGAAGGCGTCCACCACCGCCTTCTGGCGCTTGTTCAGGGGAGCTGCAGGGTCAAGAGGACCACTCACTGGGGGTCCTGAGATCCCCCAGAAACACAGCGTGGGTGGGGAGGGGCCATCATCAGCTCACTGGGGTCCAGGTCCAGTCAACAGCAGTGAGAGGTGAAGATCAGGGACCAGACCACAGGGGACCCTCTGACCTACACTGGCTTACCAGGGCCTCGGTGCCCGTCTCTTGCTCTGCAGGGGAGATTTGGAACTGGACCATCCATGGCCTGTGGGCACTAGGGCATGTGATGGGAGCCAGGCTGTCCTGTGGACGAGCAGAGGCAGCAGAGCCCGTGGGGTGTTTGTGCACTTTGGGTGACCACTAGGCCCGGAGGAGTGCCTGAACCAGCAGAGAGTCACGCTGGGTCCTGTCCGCAGCAGATGGCTTCAGGGAGCAAGGGACGTCACAGCCATCAAAGCCCCCAGGTAGCCCTCCCCAGAGGTGGCAGCCAGATTGGGGAGCATTACCCTCGTTCATCTCTGTGAGTAGTTTGCACATGTGGGGCGTCATGGCACTTGGCACCTGGATGGCTTCACCCCAAACTGCTCAGAAGTGGGTGTGGGGGCAGCTCCTACTGACACCCACAGCCTGGCCAGCCCCCTAAGGGCCTATAGACCGTGTGCTTCCCCAGAGATCCTGAGGCTGCGAGTCTGGCTCTGGGGTTCCCCTCCCGCTCTGGGGCACTGGCTCCCCAACCCAGACAACACAAATGGCCTCGGGCAGGTACTTGAATACATGTCCCCAGTTGGTCACCCGCCTCTGGCATGGAGGACCGCTGTCTCCTCAGGGTGACAGTGTGACTACTCTGATGCTCTCAGTCTGTGAGGGGAGCCTGCTGGGATCTGCTCGGACACGAGTATGTGTTTCAAGGGCCCTTGTTTTTCACTTTGCATTATGAATTGGGTGAAGGTTTACAGAGCAGAGCGGTTTTCTGTTCAGACATGCTTTATTTCATGTCACTGATCATGGTCCCCACATGTGACCACATTCACCCCACTTGTACAGCCTGTCTGTGGGGCTCGCGTGCACACCGGCAGGCCACCTCTCTACTCACATGTGACTAGAGCTGCTTCAGGCTCCAGCCAGCTCTTGTGCCTGTGCTCCCCACCCATCACTGCAGTACGGACCCCCAAACCACCCCACAATGTTCCTCAGAGGTTGCTGGGGACAATTCTCACCAGTCTGTCTGAGAACAAGCATACCCAGGAATGAAGAAGAGTAACACTTGGGACCTTCGCACACTCAAAGGCTTTACTGGGACCCAGCACACGGGGGGCAGGGGCAGCATTTGGGGGTCCTGGTCATCTCTAGCTGAGTTTCTCAGATAAGGAAGCCCTAGGGCAGCACGTGCTCTGTTTCCAACGCACCTGTACCTGAGGCACGCTCTCGGGTGGCTCCATGCAACCCCTCTCTCTGCTCCTCAGCACCGCCCTGCTTGCTGTCGGTCATACCTTCATAAGGCAGGCTGGGGGGCCCCCGTCGGAAGTGCTTCCGAGGTGTCTACACAAAAATGAAGTCACAGGGGACACTCAGGCAGCTCCCAGGTACTAGTCTTTAATCCAGGACACTGCACGCCCTTCAAGGGCAGACAGCATGTGGGCTGGCCCGTCACAGGCGACTTCAGGGCTGATTTCCATTTCAAACACAACAGGCACCTGGCTCAGACCACACAGGACGGGGGACACTGCAGACTGACCTCTCTGGCCCTGGACACAGCATCCATGAGAACAGAGTGTCTGTCAGAGCTCCAGGCACCAATGGTGGGGCTGAAGGAGGCCAAGGCCCAGGGCCATTGCACCCACATCCCACCCGCACAGGCCAGTGTCCACACCTGGAGCAGGCGAGGCTCCGCCCGTGGAGAGGAAGGTGCTGCTGGTGAGTCTGAAAAGAGCGCTGCTGTTCACATCCAGGTACCATCATGAGAGACAACGCGGAGCTGGGCCCACTTGGCTCGTGCACCTCCACCCCTCGAGAAGCCTTGTCCACAGCTCCGTGGAGGCACAGGTATATCCTAAGCCATCCGTGAAGGTTCATCTCTGTCTCTAACTCTCATCTCTAGAGTTCGACTCATGTCTGATTTCCATCTCCTGTGTAGCAGTTTCCACACGTGGACTTCCATGCCAGTGGTCACTCTAACATCCATCCTCTCGGCTGCTGTCCCTTATGGAGCACTCCTGGCCTGTAATTTTCCCACCTCTTGGTGGCCTGTGATTGGATGCCTGATGTTGTAGATTTCTCTGTGTTGGGGGCTACAGACCTGTGTGACCTGCGTGTTCCTATCTGTATAACACGTGTCTGCAGCTGAGTCGGTGGAATGCTAGGATCCATTCGGTCTGACTTGTAGGATTTGGGAGCCGAGCTGTTTCCCCCAAGGGTATTAGCAGTGCCCTGGCAGCTTGCTGAGACTAGTCCTACGGTTTCCGTCCTCAGTCTGGGTGTTTCCACACCTACGGGCGGACCACCCGGCCCTAACACAGCACACACACCAGCACCTCTGCAGGGCTCTGTCCTCCCCAACAAGATGGCTCTTCACCCGGCAGCCCATTCCTGTCCGAGCGCCTCTGACTCTCAGTCTGTCCTCCTGAGCTCCTTCCCTGGCCACTGCACAGTGCCCTCTCAAGGCAGGAAGCTGGGCCTGGGTGGGGCTCACGTGTTTGCTAGGCACAGAAACCCGCTGCCTCCCGTAGTTTGCCTGGGTTTTGTTTGTTTCAGCTAGGATAGTGAATTCGGTTCTGTTACTCCATCTTGGCTGAAAGATTAGTCCCTTGTCTACCTTATAAACATCAGCACAGAGAAGAAGGAATATTCTAATGTCCCCAGGCTCTATCCACCAGCCTCGCATGAGACAGAGAAAGATCAGAAAACATCAAACAAACCGCTAGAAGGGGTAAGTCTTCTCAATCTGTTGGAAACATTATTTCCTGAAAGTGCCTTTGAACTGCACGGTATGGTTCATTCAAGTACCTGAGGCGGAGTCTCCGGGGAGCCTTGGGCAGCACCCGCCGTCTGGGGAACCGGCAGGACAGGAGGGTGCGCTGGCTTCAGTCCAGACACGTCTGCTCGCAGCTTCTGTTTTTCCGACGACCTGTCATTCAGGGCTAAACAGGAAAATACGGTTTATCACAGAATACGGTAGGAGGCCTAAAAGAGATGGAAAGGACCTCATGGAAACCATCTGGACAGGCATTACTCATCCCGGAAGGGCAGTGTGAGACCTCAGAGAGGCTCGGGGTTGCATTCAAGAGTTGCTCAAAGGGATCACATGTTTTTCAAAGTTTTTGTCCCGACCAAGTCCAAATTAAACCCACATTCCCAAAGGTTCCACCTTAGGGAAAATCCTAAAATGAAACGTTTGGCAATGTGGGTTTAATTCCAGAGAGTCCAATATGGTGACCAACAGGCAGTTCATTGGAGCTCCACGGCCCCAAGTCAGCAGCAGCAGAAGAGATGGTCTACAGCCTTACAACACGGCCTGGCCCTTGCCCACCAAGCAGTACTGGGCATCGTGGATGTGAGGTGATAGCTGTCCATTGAGCATCCACCTCGTGGCCTGTTTCCACGGCAGAGAGGAAGGAGATGCCAGGATTCCCACGGCAACAGCTAAGCCCCCTCTAAGGCCTCATCGTTAAAAGGAATATTTTGATTTGCTACCAATCAGCTGCCCTCTGAGCTGTCCTGATGCTGTTCAAGGTAGAAGGCACACTAACTACTCCTAGTAACCGCCAACAAATAACCAATCCTAGCAGGGTCATCCATGGTAGATAGGTTCTAACAGCGTGGCTAGACTAAGACAGACTGAAAGAGGGACTGGAAATCTACTTCTGAAAAAAACTGGCCAGTGAAACTGTGAGAAGCTTTTGTGTCAACTTGACTGGGCCACCTGGATTCTCAGCAGTTTAGCAGCTAAGATGTGGTGGCCTCCCAAGATGGGATCTCATATAATGTAATCAGCCCATGATGTCATCTAATGTGATCAGCTCTGATCTGATGTAATTATTGTCATTCCTAGGATGTGAAGGAGGCTGGAGACAATCTGCAGGATTAGGTGGTATCCTGAGCCAATCTCTTTGGAGATATAAAAGCGATTAAACAAACAAGCAGAGCTCGGAGGGACCTACCACCACCAAGAGGAGTCCTGGGGTGGAGCTGTGGGTTAATGCACTAGACTGCAAAGCCGTTTGAACTGCAAGGTCGGTGGTTCAAGCTCACTAGCTGCTCCTTGGAAACCCTAGACAGGGTCACTATGGGTCGGAACCGACTCGATGGCACTTCACAACAACAACCACCACCAAGGCAGAAGAGTCAGGAGTTGACCTGGGGTCCCTGCCCTGGGAAGCTCCCGGATCCAGAGGAAGATTGGTGCCGAGACCCATGGAGATCTCCAAGGAATGCTGGGCCTTCAGAAGCTGAAAGGAAACAAGGACCTTTGTCCAGAGCTGACAAAGAAAACCTCCCCCTAGAGCAGGCACCCTACATTTGGATGTCTAGCCTCCCAACTGTGGGAGAATCCATTTCATCTCCCTGCGGTATTTTTGTTGTGGGCGTACTAGGGCGTACTAGAGACTGAAATGGAATTCTCCTGAGTATCAGAGTGGGACACTGTCTTATATAATGCCAGAAGACACTCAAAATAAGACCGGGGAAGAGCTGCCTCCACACGGAAGAGTCGACCTGAATGATGTGCATGGAGACGAGTAAAGTTGTCAAGACCTTCATTTACTGAGGTGGCATAACTCATGATAAGAATCAGCTTCAAAAATCCACTAATAACCAGAATGTGAAATGTACAAAGCATGAATTGAGGAAAATTGGAAGTCATAAAAAAATGAATGGAATGTATCAAGATTGAAGTACTAGCTACTAATGACCTGAAATGGACTGGTATTGGCCATTTTGCATCAGATAATTATATGCTCTAAAATGCCAGGAAAGTCAAATTAAGTAAAAATAGTATTGCATTCATTGTCAAAAAGAATGTTTCACGATCTATCCTGAATTACAAGCCTGTCACTGATAGGATAATATCCACACATCCACAAGGAGGACCAGTTAATATGACTGTTACTCCAATTTACACACCAACCACTAACGCCAAAGAAGAAGAAATTGAATATTTTTACCAAGTTTTGCAGTATAAATTTGATGAAACATGTAATCAAAATGCATGGATAATAAATATTACTGGTGAATGGAATACAAAAGTTGGGGAAAAGGAGGCTCTATGGCTGGAAAATATGGCTTTGATTATAGTAATGATGCCAGAGATTTGTTGATAAATTTTTGCAATATCAACAACTGATTCACTGCAGATGCCTTTTGTCAACAACAGTCCTGGTATGGTACTGTAGGTTAAGCACTGAACTGCTAACCAGAGGGTTGGCAGTTCAAATCCACCAGCCACTCCTTAGAAATTCTATCAGAGACACTACGAGTAGGAGCCGACTCGATGGCATTAACAACAGCAATGGACACGTGGAGGGGTCCAAGTATGGCAGGATAAGCAAGGTTGGCAGTTCAAACCCACCAGCTTCTCCTTGGAATGCCCTGTACAAGGTTGCTATGAGACAGAACTGACTCAGCACTTAACAATAACATACACATAGATTTCACCAGGTGGAATACACAGAAACCGAATCGACTCCATCTGTTGAAGGAAATGATGGAGAAGCTTCATATCATCAGTCAAGACAAGGTCAGAACTAACTGTGGACACAACATCAACTGCCCACATGTAAGTTGAAACTGAGTGAAGAAAATGAAAACAAGTCTGTATCAAAGACTGAACTCGAGTACATCCCACCTGAATTTAGAGAGTATCTGAAGTCTAGACCTGATGCATTGAATATTACTGATCAAAGACCAGATGTGAAATTGATCTTGCACCATCCTTACCACTGACACGCTTGAGCCTACTGTTGTTAACACTGTGCCAATCCATCTTATTGGGGGGTCTTCCTCTTGTTTGTTGACCCTCCACTTTATCAAGTATGATGTCCTTCTCCAGGGACTGATCCCTCTTCATAACATGTCCAAAGTTGAGAGACGAAGTCTCGATATCCTAGCTTCCATGGAACATTCTGGCTTTACTTCTGCCAACACAGATTTGTTTGTTCTTCTGGCAGCCATGATACTTTTAATATTCTATAACACCATAATTCAAATGCATCAATTCTTCTATGGTCTTCCTTATTCATTGTACAACTTTCACATGTATATGAGGCTATTGAAAATACCATGACTTACGTCAGGCTCCCCTTAGCCCTCAAACCAGTAATTTTGCTCTTAAACACTTTAAAAGATGTCTTGTGCCACAGATTTGCCTAATGTGATAGAGTGTTTCATTTCTTGACTACTGCTTCCGTGAGTGTTGGTAGTAGATCCAAACAAAATGAAGTCTTTGACAGCATCAAAGTTTTCTCCACTTGTCATGGTGTCATTTATTAGTCCAGTGGTGAGGATTTTTGTTTTCTTTATACTGAGGTACAACCCCTACCAAAGATGGTGGTCTTTGATTTTTATCAGTAAGTATTTTAAGTCCTCTTCACTTTCAGCAAGCACGGTTGTATCATTTGCATATCACAGGTTGTTAATGAGTCTTCCTCCAATCCTGATGCCACATTCTTTTTCATATAATCCAGCTTTACAGATTACCTGCTCAGCATATTGATTAAATATGCTAAAAGAATACAACCTGATGGACAGCTTTCCTGATCTTAAGTCATTCAGTAGCCCTTGATCTATTAGAACTGCTGCCTCTTGGTTTATGTACAGGTTCTTCATGAGCACAATTAAGTGTTTTGTAATACCCATTCTTCAGTGTTCTCCATAGCTTGTCATGATCTACACAGTTGAAAGTCTCTGGATAGTCAACAAAGCACAAGTAAACATCTTTCTGGTATTCTGTGCTTTCAGCCAAGGTCCATCTGATGTCAGCCATGCTATTCCTCGTTCCATGGCCTCGTCTAAATCTGGCCTCAATCTCTGGTAGTTCCCTGTTGATGTACTTTTGCAGCTGCTTGCGAATTCTTGTGAATTCTTGTTAGCAAAACTTCAGCTGCATGTGATATTGATGATATTGGTCAATGACTTCCACATTCTGTTGGGTCACCTCTCTTTGAAATGGGCACAAATGTGGATCTCTTCCAGTCAGTTAGCCAGGTATTTGTCTTCCAAGTTTCTTGGCATAGATGAGTGTCTCCAGTGCCACTGGAGCCTTGTTCTTTGTCACCGGAGCCTTGTTCTTTGTTAATGCCTTCTGTGTAGCTTGGACTTCTTCCTTCAGTACCATTTGTCCTTGATTATATACTACCTCTTGAAATGTTTGAATAGTGAGCATTTCTTTTTGATACAATGACTGTGTTTTCCTTCCATCTTTTTTTTTATGCTTTCTACATCGTTCAGTATTTTGCCCATAGAATCCTTCAATATTGCAACCCCAGGCTTGCATTTTTCTCTTCAGGTCTTTCAGCTTGAGAAATGCTGAGCATGTTCTTCCCGTGTTGGTTTTTAATTCCAAGTCTCTGTACATTTCATTCTAATACTGGACTTTGTTTTCTCAAGCTGACCTTTTAACTGTTCAACTCCTTTACCTCCTCATTTCTTCCATTTGCTTTAGCTTCGCTATACGTAACAGCAAGTTGAAGAGTCTTTTCTGAGATCCATTTTGGTCTTTTCTTTTAATGACCTTTTGCTTTCCTCCTGTATGAGTTCTTGATGTCATCCCACAGCTCTTCTGGTCTTTGGTCATAGTGTCTAATGCATCTAATTTGTTCTTGAGATGGTCTTGAAATTCAGGTGGGATACACTCAGGGTCATATTTTGAATCTCTTGGACTTATTTTAATTTTCTTCAGATTCAGCCTTAACTTGCATATGAACAATTGATGTTCTGTTCCACAGTCTGCCCCTGGCTTTAGTTTGGCTGATGATATGGAGCTTTTCCACCATCTCTTCCAACAGATGGAGTCCATTTACACACTGTGTGGTCCATCTGGTGAGGTCCATGTGTATAGTCATCTTTGATGTTGTTTTAAAAGATATTTGCAATGAGTAACTCATTGGTCTTGCAAAATTCTATCACGCAATTTCCAGCATTATTACTGTCACCAACGCAAAAATTTTCCAACTACTGATCCTTCATCTTTGTTTCCAGACTTTGCATTCCAATCTCCAGTAATTACCAATACATCTTGATTGCATGTTTGATCAATTGCTGATTGAAGAAGTAGATAGAATTCTTCAGTTTCACCCTCACTGACGTAAGTGGTTGGTGCGTAAATTTGAATTACAGTGGTATTAACTGGGCTTCCTGGTAGGCCCAGTTAATCTTATCACAGGCACCACTGTACTTCAGCATCTTGAAATGTTCTTTTTGATGATGAATGCAATGTCATCACACTTGAATTTGTCATTTTGCAGAGTAAACCATATGACTATCAGATTCAAAATGGCCAGTATCAGTCCATTTAAATTCACTAATGCCTACCATTGAAGAGCAATGAGTCAGCTTGAGGACTAAGGTGTGCCTGACCCAACAAGGTATTTTCAAAAACCTCATATGCACGAGAAAGCTGGACAGTGAATAAGGAAGACCGTAGAAAAACTGGTGCATTTGGCTTATGGTGGTGGAGAAGAATATTGAAAGTACCATGGGCTACCAAAAGAACCAACAGATCTGTGTTGGAAGAAGTGCACCCAGAGTGCTCCTTGGAGGCCAGGGTGGCCAAACTTCGTCTCTCATACTTCAGACATATTGTCAGGAGGGACCAGTCACTGGAGAAGGATGTCATATTTGGTAAGGTGGAGGGTCAGAGAAAGGGAGAAGATGGATTGGCAGGGTGGCAGCATCAATGGGCTCTAGCATGGCAACAATAGTGAGGTTGGCCCAGGACCAGGCAGTGTGTTGTTCTGTTGCGCATGGGGTTGCTATGAGTTGTCACTGACTCAATGGCACTTAACAACAACAACGATTACCATATCAATCTTTATGAGTTCCATTTGACAATTTCCAATTTTCCTAGATTCATACTTCGTACAGTCCATGTTGTGATTATTAATGGGTGCTTTCAGCTGTTTCTCCTCATTTTGAGTTGTGCCCTATCAGCATACGAAGGTCCCGAAAACTTTACTCCATTCATGTCAACATGGTCAACTCTGCTTTGAAGAGGCAGTTTTTCCCCAATTGTATTTTGAGTTCCTTCCTTCCATCCTTAGGAGTTCATCTTCTGGCACAATATTTGTCAATGTTCCACTGCTGTTCATAAGGTTTTCAGTGGCTAAACATTCAGAGATAGTCCGCCTCTCCTTCTTCCTAGTCTGTCTTCGTCTGGAAGCTCAGCTGAAACCTGTCCATCACGGGTGACCCTGCTGGGATTTACATACTGGTGACATAGTTTCCAGCATCACAGCAACACGCAAACCACCACAGTATGACAAGCTGACAGACAAGAAGAAGTATATCCTAGATGAAGCAAAAAGTCATTAAAAAGACAGGGAAGGAAAAAGGCCAACATGAATATCAGAAGAGACTCTGGAACTTGCTCTTGAACATAGAGCACCTAAAGTGATTTCAATAAATGAGGTAAAAGAGCTGAAGAGAAGATTTCCAAGGGCAGCTCAAGAAGACAAAGTAAAGTATTATAATGAAATGTGCAAAGACCCTGGGTTAGAAAACCAAAAGGGGAAGAAAAAAAACATTTAGCATTTCTCAAGTTTAAAGAACTGGAAAAACCCCTAAAACCTCAAGTTGCAATACTGACAAATTCTATAGGCAAAATCTTTCATGACAAAGGGAGAATCACAAGATGATTGAAGAAATCGTGTAGATTCACAGTACCAAAAACAACTGGTTGCCATTCGGGCATTTTCAGAAGGTACTAAATGACGACCAAGAACCAATGGTCCTGAAGGAAGACGCCCAAACCACACTGAAGGCATTGGGAAACAACACGGCCCCAGGAAATGAAGGAATACCAATGGAGATGTTGCAACTAACTGATGCATCATGGGAAGTGCTCGCTCATCTGTGCCAAGAAAATTGGAAGACAACCACTGGCCCCATCGACTGGAAGGATCCATATTTGTGCCCCTTCCAAAGAAAGGTGACCCAACAGAATGCAGACATTATCCAACAGTATCTTTATGATTACATACAAGCGACATTGTGCTGCAGTGCATTGAAAGGGAACGGCCAAAAATTTCAGCCAAATTCAGAAGAAGATGTGAAACGAGGGATATCACTGCTAATGTCACATGGATTTTGACTGAAAGCAGAGAATACCAGAAAGATGTTAACCTGTGTGCTATTGGCTATGCAAAGGCATTCAACTGTGTGGACAATAACACATTTTGGCTACTTTGGTGCAGAACGGAAATGCCAGAAGAGTTCATTGAGTTCGTGTGGAACCTATACATAGACCAGAGGCAGTTGTTAGATCAGAACAAAGGGATCCCACAGGATTTAAAATCAGTAAAGGTGTGTTTCAGGGTTGTATCCTTTCACCATAGTTGCTCAGTCTGTATCTGAACAAATAATCCAAGAAGCTGGAGTGAAGAAGAACGTGGCATCGGGATTGGAGGAAGACTCATAATCACCTGCGACCCGCAGATGATACAAGTTTGCTTGCTAGAAAGGAAGAAGATTGAAGTACTTCCTGATGAAGAAAGAGCACAGCCTTCAGTATGGATTGCACGTTAATGGAAAGAAAACAAAATCCTCACATCTGGACTCTACATAACATCATGATAAGTAGAGAAAAGATTGAAGTTGTCAAAGATTTTATTTTACTTTGACCCACAATAAACTCTCATGGAAGCAAGCAGTCAAGAAATCAAAAGACATACTGCACTGGACAATCTACTGCAAAAGATATCTTTAAAGTGTTAAAAACAAACCTGTCACCTTGAGGACTAAGGTGCGCCTGACCCAAGCCATGGTGTTTCCAATCACGTCGTATGCATGTGAAAGCTGGATGATGAATGAATAAGGAAGACCAAAGCACTGATACCTTGGAACAATGATGTTGACAGAAAGTGGACTTCCAGAAGAATGAACAAATCTGTGTTGGAAGTCCAATAGAAAGAAGGACGGGGAGACTTTAGCTCACACATATTGGCCATGTGATCAGGAGAGACCAGTCCATGGAGAGGGACATCGTGCTTGGTAGAGGGCCAGAGACAAAGAGGAAGACCCCCAACCAAAGGGATGGACACAGTGGCTACTACAATGTACTCAAGCATGGCAAGGATTGTGAGGTTGGCATAGGACTGGGCAGCGCTTGGTTCACCGGGTCACTCCGAGTTGGAACTGACTTGATGGCACCTAACAACAAGGAGACCCCACTCAACACAAGCATCGTTTGAAGGTACAGGCAGTTCAAGTACCTTTCCAGTGGTCAGCCGTATTCACGTAGAACAAGAGTCCACAGATCATCAGAAAAGCAACGAGGAGGAGAAGGACATTCCGCTGTAATGGAGAACCTTGCTTCTGTTTCTAAGGGTGGAAAAGACAATGACATTTTTTACTGAAAATCTCTTCACCCATCACATATTCTGTGAGGACTATGAGTAAATCCGACAGTACGGTATGTATTTCCGCTTACACTGCCCTGGGAGAAGTTCCCTCTCCGGAGCAAGCGTGCTTGGACACACTGCTGTTGTTGGTAAGTGCCTTCAAGTCAGTCCCAACCCATAGCGTCCCTCTTTAGGGTTTATGAGTGGCTGGTGAATTTGAATCGCTGACCCTAAGGTTCCAACCAACTTTGCAGCCCAGCGCGTTAACCCACAGCACCACACTAGGACTCCATGGACGACATTCCAGGTGAGGCAGTTTAGGGGCAGCCGTCAGATGGGAACCGTTTTTGTCCCAGAGCAGAGGTTGGAGGCAGACTCTACGTCCCCATGTTTCGGACTCAGACACCCTGGCCCAGGCAGACACCTGCTCACCAGTAGAAGGTGTCAGTGTACTTCACACACAGATCACCACGACACACCAGAAGTTAGACAAGGTGGGTTTATTGCTGATGCAACCAAGGGAGACCTCACGCTATGGGAAGGAAGCCTCCAAGGGTCTCAGGCAGACAGTAATAGAATCAGGGGCTGCTTTTTGTCTTTTCAGTACCCCACCTGGCCAAGGGCAGATACAGTAAGGATGCAGGACATGATTTCATGGTTTCTTGATTTTCACCATCATGGAGATTTTGTTAAGAAAAGCGTCCATGGAATTACTAACTGCTCCATGGCCAATCTCTTCTTTTGCTTCTGTTAGATGAAGTCGTAGAACCATTTTCTGTGTAGAAGTATTTACAACTCTAGACAGAACACATACGCTAATGGTAACATAGGCCATTTTTAGAAACAAAATGAATATTCACCTTGAAGTCAATGACCCATATTATAAAATCAGGCACTGAAAAAGGTGCTGGGGTTCCACTGGTCTAAGAATGTCACATAACTTTCATTTCCTCTTTATCAGTCTCATCACAAACTATTTTATTGGCCTTGTCATATTTGTAAACCGTTAGGAAGGGCTCTACTACAACTGGAAGGTTGGCAGTTCAAACCCTCACAGAGGAAACAAGCTCTGGTGGCCTGTTTGAGAGAGCCGTCTTTCGTTTGCTGCCTTTGAGAGAAGTGTCCTGACGGCTTCCAGGCTAGCGCCAGAAACGAGCTCCAATGCATGCTGGGTAGTTGTGCCAACCCCACTGGAGAACTGCAGCCCACAGTGTTCTGAGGAGGGATCAATGATGCCTTCCAGCAGTTTCTGTCTGGATAATCCTGGTGGCTTCTGGGTATTCTTTGCCTGGAAACATGATTTACTGGAAGGAGGCTAGTTTGAAATAATCAGAGGTCTCTTCTCAATTCCTCTGAACACACAGGCCTAGTTAGGTGAGACAGACGGGCAGACACTGAAAGTCCACGTGAGAACAGCTCCCTAGCGGAGTACTGGCAGCATGTTGCCTTTGTGTCTCTCAAGAGGCACAAGGCGCCAGCGGTATTTCACAGTCCCCAAGTCAGCCCAGGCCACTCCTAAAAGACGAGGCCTTGCTGGTAGGATTGCAGAGGCCTCAGCAGAAGTGTTTGGTTGGTACAAGGGTGGTGTTGCTGTTAAGTCAGTTCCAGCTCATACCGATACTAGCTAAGGTTTCCAAGAAGCAGCTGGTGGGTTTGAACACCTGACCTTGTGGTTAGCAGTCCAGCGCTTATCCTACAGCACCACGTGAGGGTAAGGCCCAGTTTTTATGAGAGTAAAAGCTGGGGTTCATGAGACCAGGGCACCCGAGGGACCTGTGAAAGGACCTATCTCGGGAAGACAAGAGTTGACTTTTCCTTAAGTGGCAGAAGGAGACAGTGAGGGTTAGAAAGAGGAGGATGAAGATTAAAAAGCAAGACCCACAGGCATCGAATTGACAGGGAAGACTTTATTAGTGTTTCTTGTCACGTAGGAGTCCTGGTGTGGTGCTGTGGTTAAAGCACTGGACTGCAAAGTCAGTCGGAATTGCAAGGTCGGCGGTTCGAGCTCACCCACTGCTCCTTGGAACCCCTATAGAGGGTCTCTATGAGTCAGAACCGACTCGATGGCACTTACCAACCAAGGAGTACAAAAGCAACGTCAGTTGAGGACTAAGGTGCACCTTACCCATGTTATATGCACGTGAAGTTGGACAACGAATAAGGAAAGCCGGAGGCAGACGCATTGGAATTACGGTGGCTCCGTAGGTCCAACTCTGGACTGCGAACCCCGAGGTTGGTGATTGACTCGGCAAAGACTTACAACCTCGGAAACCCTATGCACGGTCGCTAGGGGTCGGACTCAACAGCACTTAGCCACAAAGATAAGCCTGTCCTCGGAACCGTCCGGAGTGGATCGCTATGGGTGACAGCCTGTCCTCGGAACCGTCCGGAGTGGATCACTATGGGTGACAGCCTGTCCTCGGAACCGTCCGGAGTGGATCACTATGGGTGACATCACCTCCGCGACGGGGCAGGGTCTGTGCCGACGGCGAGGCAGTGGCCCTGGTCTCCCGTGGCTGGGACGCGGTGTGCGCCCGAGCGTCAGGCCGCAGGTAGCCACACTGAGGCTGACTCCCCCAAACCAGAGCTGCCGGTTTCCTTCTCGTGAGGTGCCACCCCGGGCCCCCCTTTCGGCAGCAGGGAGAGTGACCAGGACCCTCACCCTCCAGCACGAGTGCCACCGCCAGCCTCTGCTGTTGCAGCTCTCGCCCAGCCTCAGCGTCGGGGTCAGCGAGATGAAGTGCCCCTGCGCTGGCGGGTAAATGGGCGCAGCGGTGGACACGGCCCGGGAGACCCCGCCCACTGGGGGCATCAGGAAGCCCGGCTCCTCCTACACCCACGGGCAACCATGGCGCCTGCGTCAACAGAGCTGCGTTCGCGAACACATCCTGAACACACTGCGCCTGCGCTAACTCCGGACTAGCGCTTGCGCTATAAATTCATGTCCCCCCCCTCCCCCCGTGGCAATTGTGCTGTCGTTGTTATGTGCCCTGGAGTTCGGTTTGACTCATAGCGACCCTGCATAGGGTTTCCAAGGCTGTGAATCTTTACGGGAGCAGAAAGCCTCATCTTTCTCCTGCAGAACAGCTGGTAGTTTCGAACTGCTGACCGTGATATTAGCAGCCCGATTTATAACCAGTACGCTACCGACTACCTTGCGCCCTCATTATATTCTTTAGCGCTTGAGCGGTTATCAAGCGAACGCGGCCGTAGCCTTGGCAACAGGACGGGCCTTATTTCCGCTCGGGGGCGTGGCCTCTGCCGGTTTCAGGCTTCAACCCCAGTACCACCACCACCACTGTCCCTGCGTCCTCTGGAATCCGGAAACCCGGAGGCGGCGGGGACCGGTCCTGTCCGGTCGTGTCTTGTCACAGTGCAGTTTAAATGGACTGTTGAGCGCCCGCCCCGACATCTTGTCAGGGAGCCCTTGCGCTCGGTGTCTTCGGACCGGGGCGCCTCGGTGCTCAGGAGCGAGGGTTGCTGGCTCAGGTCGGGGAGGTCAGGACTGCGGGCGTCAGGACTGGGCCACCTGTCGAAACCGAGCTCCGAGATGCCTTCCGCCGAGACTCGGCCGCAGCAGCCTCATTGCAGAGGAGAAGGGTGGAGCCCTTCCGGGTGAGGGAAGAGAATGAACTCCCTGGAAACCAATCCCAGGGCCAACTGGAGTGACCCCACTGTGACACCGACACCCCAGCCCTTCCTCCACGTGGTGGAGTCGGGGACGTTGCTCTCCATTGACACGTAGGCTGTGTGCTTAGATGGCCTCTATTGTGATTGTGTTGGCATTAGTGCTGTCGGGTGGGTACCGGTACCGACTCAGCGATCAGATGTACAACGGAACGCAACACGGCCCGGTCCTGCGCCAACCGCACAGTTATGCGTGGGCCCATTCTGCCCTCTCATATTGTCCAGGGACTGGACCCTCCTGGTAAGATAACAGAAGTATGAGCGACAAAGTCTCGCTGCCCTGGCTTCCAAGGAGCATTCGGACTGTACTGCTTCCCACACAGATCGGTTTGTTTTTCTGGCAGTCCGTGGTACTTTTAATATTCTCCAATACCATAACTCCTCGGAAACCCTGTGCAGGGTCGCTATGACTCGGAACCGACTCCACGGCACATAACAACAACAACAACAACAACCATAGCTCAAACGCGTCAATTCTGCCGTTTTCTTATTCACTGTGCAGCTTTCGCCTGCATATGAGGTTATTGAAAACACCACGGCTTGGGTCAGGCGCACCTCCGTCCTCAAACACATCTTTGCTCTTGTGTTGAGGTGGGGGTGGGGAGGAAGGGGTCCAGAAATCAGGATTAACCTGGAACCACTTAGTGATTAAAAACTACCAAAGTCGTAATATTGAGGCCTTCACCCCGCCGTCCTTGGGCAATTGTGAAGATGTGCAGAACATGCCCAAGGCCATAGTTGGACAGTCACATCCTGGGCCACACCCTTAAAGAAGACTATCCATAAAAATTCCATATTTTATGGGTCATGCCATTAAGGAAGATGTGTATTTTATGAGACTTGTCATTAAGGAAAACCGTAAGAATCCTGTATTTCTACTTCCTTATGAGATATTTTACTGGTTGAACTGGTTTACCTAATGCCCTAGACATAACTTAAAAGGTCAAAACTTCTACTGGAGAAAAGGAGAATGGGAGCCCCTGGGAGGAGTCTGAATTTGAGTCCAAAAGAATCCCAAAATAAGTTCCGACCGCTCCTACCATCTTGAAGAAATGCTGTTAATACACCCAGTGAGCATGGCTCCTCCTAAATGGGCCATTTCCTGGAAATCCTAACCTATGGCTTTGAATAAACATGATATCTTTTCTCCATCCAAAACCTTTAAAACCCAGAAAGCCCTTTGGAGAAGTGTATGTGTTTCAGGGGTGGGGGCTGGTGTAAGTATTGCGTTAAACCCTCTGCTTCTCCATTTGCAAGTCTATTTCCTGTAATAAACTTTTGCTCATATGAAAACTGCTTACCTGACTACACTTAGTAGTAATCACTGGAAGGCAAGGCCCCTCCCTTGAAGGACACAGATGTGGCTGGATTCCCTATAACACTGTTTTATGCTCAATAATCAAAATGCAGCAGAGCAGCCCACTCCCTCGGGGGGCTCTGCCTTGTACTCACTCGCTCTGCCTCCCAAATCGCAAAACTGCCCTGCCTCAGATCTTTCACCTGTGGACAAGGCTGTATAGCTTCCCCTACAGTCCTGCTGGTGACTCCTGGCTTTATCCCAACGTCTGAAGGCCTCTCCGGTAATCTGAATTAGACCCTGAAAGACCCTCTGGCTTTCCTGCCCCCTTCCCCTGGCAGTCCATCTCTCCACCCACAACTCTGCACTCAAACATCCTTGACTGCACAGTAGGTTACCAGGGAAACCGAACTTCAGAAGGAAGTGCTGCAGGAGGCTTCGCGGATTCTAGGATGTGGGGGCCTGAGCTCACCCCTGGAGAACTAGTCAAAAGGGTAGATTCCCTGCATAAGGTTTCCAAGGAGCGGCTGGTGACCTTGAACCTACAACCTTGCAGATCAAATCAACTTTGCGGTCCAGCACATGTACAGCACCACACCAGGAGGACTCCATGGACAAATATAAGGCATACATGTTTTATTATTTTAACTGGTTTGTCCTTCATGATTTTAAATGACAGGTGTATAAAAAGCAAGGATCAAATTAGGTTACAGAGCATATGAAATATCAAGACAATTTTAATAACAAAATGGGAGTGAGCAGAGGAATAGAATAAAAGAGTTTCTAGTGCGTTACTGAAGTTAGATTGGTACCAATTTATGATACGATGTTATAAATACAAGTTGTTAAATGTAATGTCACAGTTACCGCTGCCAAGAAAATGCCTAGAAATCATACACAAAAGGAAAGAAGGGAATCAAAAAGGCTCACTACAATAAATCAACAAAACACAAAAGCAGTTAAAAACAAAGGACAGAAAACCAAATTTAAGTTATCAAATGGCGGAAGTAAGTCACTTCTTGTGGACTAAATGCTCCAGTCAAAATGCAAAGAGGGTAAAAGGAATAAAAAAATTTTAAATAGCCTAACTATCTGCTGTTTATGAGATCTTAGACCCCAGGACAAAAAGTGAAAAGATGGAAAAAAAATACTTCATGTGTCTAATAGCCAAATCAGAACTAGAGTGGCGATCTTAACATGAAACAAAGTAGACTTTAAGACAAAAACTGTTCGAAGACACAAAGATAAGAATGGGCATTCTAAAGTATTAAAAGGGTCAACACATCAAGAAGATTTAGCAATCTTATAAATGCATATATATATGCACCCAACATCAGATCATCTAAACCAGGGGTGGGGAACCCTTTTTTCTGCCAAAATTGATAACATTGTCGTGGGCCATACAAAATTATCCACTTAAAAATTAGCCTGCTGTATTTGGTCAAACATTTAACTAATTCACCCCTACTGTGAAGGCTGGGATTACCTTGTCAGGACCAGATCAAATGATTCCTCAGGCCGAGTGCTCCCCATCCCTGATCTAAACCTATAAAGCAAATACTGACACAGTTGAAGGGAGAACTAGCTACGCCAACAACAGTAGTTAGGAGTGTTGGTGGCTCTGTAGGACCAGTGTTGAACGGCTAAACCCCGTGAGCTAACACAAACATTTTACCACTAAAGTCACACAGCTCACAGCAACAACCAAACACAGCTAATACAGAAAGATCTCAGCAAACTACCCAGAAATCCCAATTTGATTAACAAGATTAAATGATCCTGTAACGTCTGAAGAAGAGTGTCAGTCCATGGAAAGCAAATGTGCCTGTTCGTTCAAGAGTTCCTTCTGTGCACGTTAGTACACGATGAGAGTTCGACCTCAGACCAGGACGAACAGGGGGAGATGGCAGGTTTTGGTGCCATGGGCTCTGTAGACATTGTTTTTAGATGTTGCTTTAAAAGAGAGTAATAAAGGAATTGAGCCTCTACCACCTCCTCTTTGATGAAATCCCAATTCTCACACAATGTCCTCAGTGCTGTATTTGCTAGTGAAAGTGGACAACTATCTTGGGTTTGTCTGGTGATTGTATTTCAGGTCTATCATCCACCTAACAATGGTAAAATCTACATTCTACTCAGTGCACATGGTTCATTCTCCAGAGGGGTCACGTGCTAGGTCACAAAGTGGATCTCAATACATTTTTTAAATTGGAATTATACATTGCATTTTCTCTGACAGAAACAGAGTAAAGCCAGAAATTTAAAAAAAAAGAGAGAGAGAGAAATACACCAACATATGGAAATTAAACAACACACTGTGATTGTTTAAGTTTTGTATCAATTTGGCTGGAGCAGGATTCTCAGTAATGTAACAGTTAAGATGTAGTAAATCCCCAATACAAGATGGAATAGAATGCGATTGCTTTCCTGGTGAGATCTGCTTTCAATGAGCACCCAATCTATTGAAGTTTCCCTGTGGGTCTGGGATGCAACATTGTTCCTCTCACAAAGATGAAAGGAAAAAGCAGTGAGCCGAGAAAGAGGGACAACTCACAGGGACAAACAGCCAGGAGTGGAGTGTGTCCTTGGCGTCTGGGTGGCTGCGCAGTGAAGCTCCTAGATCCACAGGAAGGTTGATTTGAACCGCATTGTGGCAGCTCAAATCCACCATAGTGTCAGGGTCACTATGGATCAGAAATGACCCACCGGCAGTTAACAACACAACATGGGATGCAGCAAAAGCAGTTGTTAGGTGCCATCAAGTCAATTCTAACTCATACTGAACCTATGCACAACATAACAAAACACTGGCCAGCTCCACACCAGCT